CAACTAATTTTCTATTACATAGTTTTTATCTGAGTTTCATTTTAGCATTAAGGGTTTAGGTAATGTTTTATGTTAATTCAAAATGTATTCTATTTTTAGTTGTATCTATCATCACATCCTTAATTTTTATATTGCTGATAATTAGTGTTTAACCTTTGTAATATACCCACAGTGTGATACCTATAGTACATAGGGTATAGAAAATGCTGGTCCTTCCATCAAGAAAATGACAGTTTGGGAGGTTATGAAATACCTTTCTCTGGCGATTTTTAAGAAAAGAGTAGGCAGCTGTCTGTATATACTAGGTGGTCTGTCACAGTCTTTTGCAGTTTTGTGTATCTGTCTCTGAGCATACTGATATATAGAGGATATTTTCCAAATGCCCTTAAATCAAAGGAAGGTTCTTTTTTCTTATGCTGTTATTTTAGTAGTTGTCTTCTTACTGGATAAAGTTGAAGGGGGAAAAGGGGAAGGAAGGAAGTACCTTGATCCCATTTCTAAATTACACAGTTTGGTTTTTAATTTTTTATCTCTGTTTTGTATGCTATAAATTTAGACTTATATTTGGTGACCAACAACTGATGGTATCATTTTGCCTATTTGAAGTACCCATTTTTTTGTTGTTTTTATTTGTAATTGTGTCCGTAATGGTGAGAATCTGCAAACTTGGGAATAATTAATTTTGTGTTCTCATCAACTTTTGCTTATCCATACTAGTCACTGTGTTCAAAAGTGCAAATCACCCTTGCTCTGGGGAAAGGCTACTTCTTTCTTGCTCCAGAAAGTGGACTCATTACCCCAGATACTAATTCCTGCCACCCGAGGTGATTTGGGCAACTGGGAATTCACTGTAACTTCATTTACACAATGAAAACTTTTATGAGACGCCAACCTGCCACGCCTAAAATTGGATTGAAATGTACTTTTTATTAACCACATTGGAAATCCAATGGTGTGAAACTGTGTATTTCAAAAGGCCCCTAATTTCTTACTTTATTTTTCCTACTTCTTCTGTGTTGCAATTGTGTTTTAGCTATTTTTTAACATATAGCTATTAAGGATAATAAGCAATTAAAATTTTTTGGCGATTCCCATAAAGCAAACCAGCTGCTTAAAATTGTTCAAATTCTTCCTGAGTAATCAGTCTATGAAAATAGCCTTGTGTGTGTGTCTTAACCTTTGAGCTCTCAGTGATGATATGTCTTAACTGGGCTGGTATTTTATGCAGAGGAGTAATTATTTTAGTCTCATTTCAGCTTTTAAATAAAAGGATAATACAAGGATTAGCCAATTTTCTCTTAATCATCTGCCAATCTGTTAACAATGCAGTTTCGTCCGTGAAGTTTACATGACATACATGAACACATACACTGACAAAATTAAGAGAAACATTTGAGTACTTTGCCTGTGACCTGCTTGTGTGTTTTTTTTTAAAAGATTTATTTATTTCAGAGAGCGAGAATGAGAGAGAGAGAGTACATGAGAGGGGGGAGGGTCAGAGGGAGAAGCAGGCTCCTCGCCGAGCAAGGAGCCCGATGCAGGACTCGATCCTGGGACTCCAGGATCATGACCTGAGTTGAAGGCAGTCGCTTAACCAACTGAGCCACCCAGGCGCCCCTGCTTGTGTGTTTGTATACATACACAGGTATTTGTATGGTAGGCTTGTTTCAGTGATTTATTCCTTGAATAATATTTGCTGATATGATTTTCCTGTTTTCACTTTTGACCAGTTATGAAAGCATCGGAAAGAGCTCTTGCTGAAGATGGGTCTCTCCATCACTTGTCTCTTTTTCCTATTTTCCGTTTTTGCTACATTGTCATCTGTGCAGGGGAGACTTTTCTAGGGTCATTTTGACTCCAGGCAGAGCTAGATTATGCTGGGAGTAAGAGAATTGCCAAGGGAAACTGTGGCAAGCCATCATCATAGACACCAGAAATTAACTATGCCATGAGTAAATTTGATGGAGATACACCTGTTCCAATCCTCACCGAAGTGATTCCTTTCCTTGTATTTCCACATAAATAATGTGAAAATAACTTCACCCTAGGAATAATGCCTTATTAAATTACCTTCATTAGAAACAATAACTTTTGAAGGAATCAAAATGAATTACAGTAATGAACCGTGACTATTTGCATGAAAGAGAAATCTAGAGATCCTGTATTAGAGATTTTCTGTTTGTGGATCTGCTAGCAATGTAACTTTTAAGAATGCTGACTAAGAAGTGGATTAAGGTGAACCAAAATAGAATAACCCTCTAGTTTTCCAAAATTTCCATCTAGCCAGAATTTCATTTAGTATTTTTTTTGAGAGGGAACACACATTTTCAAGAAGAGAAAAGCAATTATTTTGGCCATAATCAACTTACAACATTGTTTCTTAGGGTAACTTCTAATCTACTGATTTTGATGCTTTTTTTATTTTTCAATATTCAATAAATATTTATTAGCCACTTTTTAAAATTTTAATTCCAATATAGTTGACATACAGTGTTACATAAGTTTCAGGTGTACAATATAGTGATTCAGCAATTCTGTACATTACTCATCAAGATAAGTATACTCTTAATCCCCCTCACCTGTTTCACCGCCCCCCCCAACCACCTCCCCTCTGGTAACCATCTGTTTGTTCTCTATGGTTAAGAATCCGTTTTTTTGTTTTGTCTCTTTTTTTCTTCATTCGTTTGTTCTGTTTCTTAAATTCCACATATGAGTGAAATCATATGGTATTTGTCTTTCTCTGACTTATTTTGCTTACCATTATACTCTTTAGATCCATCCATGTTGTTGCAAAATGGCAAGATTTCATTCTTTTTTATGGCTGAATAATATTCCTGTGTGTGTGTGTGTGTGTGTGTGTACACACCACATCTTCTTTATCCATTCATCTATGGATGGACATTGGGCTGCTTCCGTAATTTGGCTATTGTGAATAATGCTGCAATAATCATAGGGGCGCACATATCCTTTCAAGTTAGTGTTTTCATATTCCTTGGGTCAATACCCAGTAGTGCAATTACTGGATCATATGATAGTTCTATTTTTACTTTTCTGAGGAACCTCCATACTGTTCTCCACATTGGCTGCACCAGTTTGCATTCCCACCAACAGTGCATGAGTGTTCCTTTTGCTCCATGTCCTCGCCAACACTTGTTGTTTTTTGTGCTTTTGATTTTAGCCATTCTGACAGGTGTGAGGTGATATCTCACTGTGGCTTTGATTTGCATTTCCCTGATGATGAGTGATGTTGAGCATCTTTTCACGTGTCTGTTGGCCATCTGAATGCCTTATTTGGAGAAATGTCTGTTCCTGTGTTCTGCCCATATTTTAATCAGATTATTTGTGTTTTCTTGGTGTGAGTTGTATAAATTCTTTATATATTTTGGATACTAACCCTTTTTTGGATATGTTATTTGCAAATATCTCTTCCCATTCAGTAGGTTGTCTTTTTGTTTTGTTGACTATTTCCTTTGCTGTACAGAAGTTTTTATTTTGACATAGTCCCAATAGTTTATTTTTGCTTGTGTTTTCCCTTGCCTCAGGAGATATATCTGGAAAAATGTTGCTACAGCTGATGTCAAAGAAATTACTGCCTGTGCTCTCTTCTAGGATTTGTATGGTTTCAGGTCTCACTTTTAGGCCTTTAATCCATTTTGAGTTTACTTTTGTGTATGGTGTATGAAAGTGGTCCAGTTTCATTCTTTTTCATGTAGCTGTCCAGTTTTCCCAACACCATTTGTTGAGGAGACTCTCATTTTCCCATTGCATGTTCTTGCTCCTTTTTCAAAGATTAATAGACTATATAATCATGGGTTTATTTCTGGGTTTTCTATTCTGTTCTATTGATCTATGTGTCTGTTTTTGTGCCAGTACCATACTGTATTGATGACTACAGCTTTGTAATATAACTTGAAGTCTGGAATTGTGATACCTCCAGCTTTGTTTTTCTTTTTCAAGATTGCTTTGGCTCTTCAGGGTCTTTTGTGGTTCCATACAAATTTTAGGATTGTTTTTTCTAGTTCTGTGAAAAATGCTGTTGGTATTTTGATAGGGATTGCATTAAATGTGTAGATTGCTTTGGTGCTTTGGGTGGTATGGACTTTTTAACAATATTTATTCTTGCAATCCATGAACATGGATAATCTTTACATTTGTGTCCTCTTCAATTTTTTGTCATGAATGTTTTATAGTTTTCAGAGTACAGGTCTTTTACCTCCTCAGTATTTTGTTATTTTTGGTGTAATTGTAAATGGGATTGTTTTCTTAATTTCTCATTTTGCTACTTCGTTGTTAGTATATAGAAATACAGTGGGTTTCAGTATATTGATTTTGTATCCTGTGACCTTACTGAATTCATTTATCAGTTCTAGTAGTTTTTTGGTGGAGTCTTTAGGGTTTTCTATATATAATATCACGTCATCTGCAAATATTGACAGTTTGACTTCTTCCTTGCCAATTTGGATATGTTTTATTTCTTTTTCTTGTCTGATTGCTGTGGCTAGGGCTTCCAGTACTGTGTTGAATAAAAGTGGTGAGAGGAGACATCCTTGTCTTGTTCTTGATCTCAGGGGAGAAACTCTCAGTTTTTCCCCATTGAGTGTGATGTTAGCTGTGGGTTTTTCATATATAGCCTTTATTATGTTTGAGGTAGGGTCCCTCTAAACGTACTTTGTCGAGGGTTTTTATTATGAATGGATATTATACTTTCTCAGATGCTTTTTTTCTTCATCTATTGAAATAATCATAGGGTTTTTATCCTTTCTCTTGTTGATGTGATATAGATAATTTTCTTTTAGTCACCTTTCTACTGGATTAGGTAAAGGTGGTTTGTGAATTCTCTTTAGGTCATTAATGTCTTAGATAAGAATTTTTATTTGCATCTCTATGGACAGTAAAAAACTTAGTTGACTCCTCTTCTAGAACAGGTATTTCTGTTATCCAGAATGTGAGTGTCATGAAATTGGCAGCATTTTAATTTTTTTTTTTTACTGGCTTAATAGGTGACTTTAGACAACTGTGTGGAAGTTGGTCGGATTGCCAACACCTACAATCTGACAGAAGTGGATAAATACGTCAACAGTTTTGTCCTGAAGAATTTTCCTGCATTGCTGAGCACTGGGGAGTTCTTGAAACTCCCTTTCGAGCGTCTCGCCTTTGTGCTTTCCAGTAATAGCCTTAAGCACTGCACTGAACTTGAGCTCTTTAAGGCTACCTGTCGCTGGCTACGCCTAGAAGAGCCTCGGATGGACTTTGCTGCAAAATTAATGAAGAACATACGATTTCCACTGATGACACCGCAGGAGCTCATTAATTATGTGCAAACCGTGGATTTCATGAGAACTGACAATACCTGTGTGAATCTCCTTTTGGAAGCCAGCAATTACCAAATGATGCCGTACATGCAGCCAGTGATGCAGTCAGACAGGACTGCCATTCGGTCTGACACCACTCATTTGGTCACGCTTGGAGGAGTGCTGAGGCAGCAGCTGGTTGTCAGCAAGGAATTGCGCATGTATGATGAAAAGGCCCATGAATGGAAATCGTTAGCCCCCATGGATGCCCCAAGGTACCAGCATGGCATCGCTGTCATTGGAAATTTCCTCTATGTCGTCGGTGGACAGAGTAATTATGACACAAAAGGAAAAACGGCGGTCGATACAGTCTTCAGATTTGATCCTCGCTACAATAAATGGATGCAGGTTGCGTCTTTAAATGAAAAGCGCACCTTCTTCCACCTAAGTGCCCTCAAAGGATATCTGTATGCTGTCGGTGGGCGAAATGCAGCTGGTGAACTGCGTAAGTGTGTGCATTTCTGTTAAGCATAGAGACTAATTTCTTTACCCCCAAATTCTCGTTAAATCATAAAATAAGCAGTTCTATAAAATTAAAGAGAAAAATGTAGCTAGCGTTTCATTTAAACTGTTTGGCTCAGGAAATATCCGACACAATCTATATGCCTAATCCGGATTTATATTGTCGGCCAGGGTACAAATTATATCTTAGGAATATATCAGTATGTTGCAGAATATTTTATTTGGCAGTATATATGGTTTTCATCTTGACAGTGGAACTACAAAGTATATTCTGCTAATTTAAATTCTAATAGAATCTCGGACAGAAGTTTGGCATGTTTCCTTATTTTCCATTTTTAAAAGCCCACATAATACTTTATTGTACAGGTTAAAATCCTTCCTTACAGAGGACTGATTGTTATCATTTCTTCGTTTACATAATCTTTTACCCTATCCTAGACCCTCGACCACCATAGTAAGATCATTTTCTTTGTCAATTAAATGTACAAAGTTCAATATTATCCAAAATGTATTTACTCTGAGTAATGTGATCTGTGACTATCAGTTTTATAGAAATCATTCTCTCTTGGGGCACCCAGGTGGCTCAGTCAGTTAAGCGTCTGACTCTTGATTTCGGCTCAGGTCATGAGATCGAGTCCTGTGTCGGGGTCCATGCGTCGGGCACAGGAGTCTGCTTGTCCCTCTCCCTCTGTTCTTCCCCCCTCCCCCCCACTCACATGTTCTTGCTCTCAAATAAATAAATAAATAAATAAAATCATTCTGTCTTAGTGAAATACCAAACAGTTTTCTTCACTGTAAACTGCTCTGGTAAGCTTCATTAGATGGGGCCACTTTTTTTGTCTCCCTAATTGAAGATTGGTCACAAGTGCAGTTAACGTAGAACAGTACTTTGGCTCCATAAATGAACACTAATTTTGTTATTTTAGGTGAAATTGGAGTAAGATAGCTGTCCAAAAAGAAGTCAGGAAGACCCCATTTTCTGTCACGCCTTCCGTATCTGTCATTAGCGTCATCATTTGGCCTCTTTTTTTCACCGCCTCTTTTATGCTGCGATGACTGGAGTCCTTGTAGTTGACCAGTAGTCCAGGCTCTGTAATGCTGGGAACGTGGAAAATATTGGCCTTGGCTCTGGATAAATTCAAAGTGACTATCAGCATCTTTTTCTTGGTAGCTTAATGGATTTAAGAATAAGTTATTTATTGGAGGCCAAAAGAACTGCTCTCAACTCTTATACTCTCCAGCTGATCAAGCCCTTTCTCGTTAGTGACGTCTTAATGTTACTGATCTTTCCTACCTACAGTTATTTTTTTTTTTTCTAAGATCGGGCTCCCCAAATGGTGGGACTCGGGATCCTTATCATGAACCACACAGATTGCCCAATATATTTTAATAATCAGGCTTTAAAACGCATTTGAAGCATCAGTACCCGTAGTGTCGAATTGTCATTTCAGGTCTCCTCACTCAGCCCACACACATTATTTTCATGTTGTGATACTATTTTAAATGGAGGGTGTCTGGAAATATTCAGAAGCTGCAACTAGTGATTTGGCGCTTTCTTAGGAAAACCGCTTGTATAAGATAATCTTTCCAAGTTTACAAATTATAGGTCATCAGTCCTGGCAGTGAGCGGTCATTTCAGGCCTTCTTTCCTCAAGGGAAATAGCTCCAATTTCTTAGTCAGTGCTTGCTTATTGATGTTATCACCCCTATTAATATGCAGTCTTCAATATATCATTCCTCCTATTAATTAGAGGCCTTATTCTTCTGAGAATTTATCATCTTCAGGCCAAGGAGAGTCATTACATAAAACCAAGAAGCTAGAGGCTTTCTTTTGCTGAGCTCTTGCCATGTTATACTCATTTGGGAACAAGAAGTAGACGACCCCGTTGGGCAAGTGGCTGCCTTCCTTGCTCATGACCTTCAGAAATCCCACCCTCCATCTCTTATTAAAAATAGTCTTCTGCATTTCAGGTTTTTTTGTAAAGATTTTATTTATTTAGGGGCGCCTGGGTGGCTCAGTTGGTTAAGCGACTGCCTTTGGCTCAGGGCGTGATCCCAG